CTGTGGCAATCAAGAAGTGACTTCCTTTTCTATGAAAGTTTGTAAAACTTCCACTGAGTAATCTAGAACAATGTTAAGGGGCTGGGTTCGCATGCAACTCTATTGGAGAACGTGGGAAGGGGAACAGACTCCATCCCAAAGTGTCAGGAGATTGATGTGAACGAGAAGGGCTTGGCCAGTCATCAAAGTGGAGAAAGAAAATCAAAGTTGCCCAGGCCATCAGCGGAAGCTCTTGCAAAGATTAGCTGGGCTTAGCGGAATCCAGCATATGGCTCTCTTGGCAAACTTTTGGCCTCAGAGAATGAGGGGACCTCAAGCAAGATCTTTTATCAGGACAGCAAACTCCTCCCCTTTGGCTCCCTTGTCTTCCCAGACAACATAGCTTCTAGTGGAATCTGGCTTCTAGAGACTCGGCCCACAGGGGGCAGGTGCAGCCTTCCAGCCTGGCTGACTCATCACTTCTCGTGATTACAAGATGGCAGTCTGCTACCCAGACCAACCTGTGAGTCTACAAAGGGATGTCTGGAGGCAAAGATCCAAAGCATCCGTCAGCTGAGCTGCTAACTCTGGGAAAGAAAGACCACCAGGAATTGCCAAAGGCCGGTGGTCACCAGGCAAATCCATGCTCTGGCAGAAAACACAGCAGCCCCTTCAGCTTGCCCTGCGCTGCCTGCAGAGCCAAGCTGGAAGGTCCACTGTTGAAACACACCACTTGGACAGCCTCCCATAACCATCACGGATCTGCCCCACTCTGGGTGAGTGACGGTGACCCCGGCCACTGGCGAGACAAGATGACAAGATGACAGCTCTGACACTGGTGTTTCAACATGATGTTTCAGTGGCTGTTATTCATACAGTGCCTACGTGTTAATGATTCTAATCGTCGTTCCAATGTCAACTCAGCAAACGGCAGACCTGTCCCCAGTCTGGTTGTCACAGCTCACCAGTACTCTGGTGCAGCAAGAAACACAGGCCTACCAATGGGTGCTGAGTGCTGTCTCACTGAAGATATTCCCCCAGGATAAGCCAAGCCAGTCCACTCCGCAATGACAGCCTCGCTGCCCCGGGGAGGGCTCCCCTTCACACCGTAAGCAGCATAGAGTTTCGGGGAAAGCCTACTGTGGAGTCACTTTTGCCCAGATGAACTCATTGCACCACTAAAAGATGACTGGGAACTAGAAGGCAAGGCAGGGAAGGCAGGTGCAGGCTTCAACCACTGCTTAAACGAAGGACCCGGATTTTACTTTAGCCTTCAAAACCATACTGTGACCACAACAATGATAACTACGTGAGGTAATATAGATACCCATATGGGTAAAAGCTCGAGTTTTGGCTGTTCCACTTCTGATCTAGCTCCCTGCTTATGGCCTAGGAAGGCAGCAGAGCATGGCTGAAGTCCTTGGGTCACTGCACCTACATCTGAGACCTGAAGGAGGCTCCTGGCTCCTGGCTTTCCATCGGCTCAGCTCCGGCCATTGTGACTATTCGGAGAGTGAGCCAGCAGAGAGATCTCTCTTTGTCTCTCCTTCTCTCTGTAACTCTGACTTGTAAATAAAAGTAATCTTTTAAAAAATTGAAGCCATCCCCACTGCCCCCCCCCCGAGAAGCAGGTGGCAAATGTCTAGTAGGACGGCAGGCTTGCTGCAATCCCTCGGCCAGAGGGACAGGAGGCCCCGTGGAGGTCACAGTCTCACACACACCAGGACACGGCCAGCCTTTGTCAGCGTTGTGGTGATGGGGGAGAAGGTGCCACAGGCACACTGGGTATCCCCCCAGAAAGGTGTGGCAGCTCTCCACTGCCAGAATGCAGACCTGCTATGCCCCACTCTGAGCCCACCAGAGCAATCGCCAAGTGTGCACGTCACGTCCCATCAGCTGGCACAGTGGCCATCCAGGAGACAGCACTCAATACATGCCAAGGGAGTGACTGGAGGGGGGCGGGGGGCTGAACCCCCAGGTTTATGGAACTATATCATGAAGTAAATACATACACAAAATTGTTATTTATTTTTAAAGAAGAAAACATAATTTTCAAGCAGAAAAACCAGAAAAAAAAATATGAGAAATAACATGAAGCCGTTCTGTGCTGGCCTGACTCATCAATTACAAGTTGTGTGTGTGTGTCAGCTGCGCTGAAGTCCTTGACGCAGCTGCAGTCCCAGAGACCCTCACTAGGGGGCCATACTGGGTTAGCTTCAGCAAGGGGAGCCTGGCCTCCTTCCTTCGCAGTCCGCTCTGCAGCCTGCCCACCTTCGTGGGAACACTGGCTGCGTAGGGCCTTATTTGTCAAATGTCTGGGACCAAAAGTGCCCTTGATTTTGAAAAATTTGCACAAACTTTACCTACTGAGTATCCATAATAAAAAAAAGTTAGATTTGGAGCACGCGGGGCTTCGGATTTTCAGATTAGGGATGTTCAACTGACGGTGTTTCTAAAGACAGGAGTACCTATAAAGACCGGGGCATTTGCCAACTACTAGACATGGTACTAAAGAATCCACGTGCATCATCTCAGTTAGTCTTATTATCTGTTCACCAGGGTAGGATAGTTACCTTCACTTCTATTGATGAGACTATTTGACCTCAAAGATACTCAGTTACTAAGCCTCACTTACACAACATCCAGCAAAGACTAGATTCAAATCCAAGTCTGACGCCACGGCCACGTCCACACTCCGCAAAGGGCCGCCGGACCTCATACCTGGGCCTTCTCATTTCAACTGGCTACTGCCTTTTCTGCAGTGACTGATTTTCTGACAAGGGACAATAAACCCATATTCTAGTCTTCAGTAAAAATGCTGCAGAAGATTTTGCTTCATAGAAAATGACTTTATTGAATAAGAAGCTCTTCTTTCCTGTGTGAATGTCTCCTACCTAAGATATGTGTGCTGAGTACTGGAAAGTACAGTTGCCAAACTCAGAGTAACATTTGTTTCTGTGCTACTGCCTCCCAAACTACAACATACAAACAGATCACTTGGGAATCTTGTTAAAACACACACTGATGGACCAAGTCTGGGATGTGGCCCAGCCAGCTCCCAGTCAACGTTTATGTTGCTGGCTCATGGATCACACTTTCAGTATCAAGAATCTGGAAAATATTTGGGAGCAAAAATTGAGATTCTTTGGAATCCAAACTCAGATTCTCAGAGAGAATAACAGGTGTAGAACTGAGCACCCTTCATACAAACAACAACAAAAAGGAAAGCTGTCAAGAATCCTAAGAAGCGAGGCCTGCCACTTCACACCAATGGAAAAGTTTGCGGGGTACAATCTTGGTAGGTGTCCAACACTGATGCGCTTCTTAAAGATCCATTTGCCCAAGCAATGCACACATCATTCAAAGGTACTTCAGCAGCCTTCACAGCCCATCCACCAATATTACAGCTATCCAGGCCACCCAGCCTTGGTGATGTGACAGCACTGGGCCCAGCACGATCCAGTAACAGCTCCCAGGCACATGAAGAGGGCCTGGGCATGCTTAGGCGGGCAGAAGTCATCCCAGCTCTGAATAAAGAGCCCCGAGGTGCATAACAGGATGCACAGGACCGAATCGCTGTCCCCCTCATGCCATAAAGAGCTTTGGAGTTCTCAACATTTCTTGTTACACTAGTGGCAGAGAAACGGCACAGCTGGAGTAGGCACACAAAGATGGACTGGCACCTTTTAAACACAGCATTGTCAACTGGGTGCCCACCAAGGAAATACAAATGGGAAGCAAAGGGTACTTCTACAGGTTCATGGGCTTGGTGCAGTAGCCTAGTGGCTAAAATCCTCGTCTTGAATGTGCCAGGATCCCATATGGGTGCTGGTTCTAATCCCGGCAGCCCCGCTTCCCATCCAGCTCCCTGCCTGTGGCCCGGGAAAGTAGTTGAGGAAGGCCCAAAACCTTGGGACCCTGCACACATGTGGGAGACCAAAAGACGTTCCTGGCTCCTGGCTTCAGACTGGTACAGCACTGGCCATTGCAGCTGCCTTGGGAAGTGAATGAATGGATGGAAGACCTTCCTCTTTGTCTCTCCTCCTCTCTTTATATCTGACTTTCCAATAAAAAATAAAATAAATCTCTTTTTTAAAGTTCATGGAAATCATACTGAAAAAGAAGTTTATTTTGGTGAAAAAAAATTTTAATTCAAAATTTTTTACAAATTTATTTATTTAAATAAGCATTTTCTACAGGACCTTCTTCTAAATTTTTATTGGAAAGTCAAATTTACAAAGAAAGAGAGGAAGATCTTCTGTGCACTGGCTCACTCCCCAAGTGGCTGCAAAGGCAGGAGCTGAGCCAATCTGAAGCCAGGAGCCTCCTCCGGGTCTCCCACACGGGTGCAGGGTCCCAAGGCTTTGGGCCGTCCTCGACTGCTTTCCCAGACCACAAGCAGGGAGCTGGATGGGAAGCGGGGCTGCTGGGATCCAAACTGGTAACCATATGGGATCCTGGTGCTTGCAAGGCAAGGATTTAGCCACGAGGCTACTTGCACCAGGCCTTATAATTTTGTTTTTGAAAATTCATTTACCATGAACTTTTTGAAGGCCCTACACACACAGTTATATGAGTAGGTACACATGCATGTGCATATATAGTGAGAAATTGGCCTCACAATGCATTTTCTAGCCTTGTCCACATGACTGACTATGTCACCAGCCCCAAGGACCAAGCTATGGAGGATACAGGCAGTTCCCTCAGAATCCTCACAGTTTATCTGAGCTCTCCAAGAGGCCATGTTCTCAGTAGAGGCTCTCACATGCATTTTGTTCTTGATACACATGACAGTCCCAGAGAAGGGATCACTGTGACAAGCAGCAAAGTGGTCCTACACTGGACGTGTGGAGGATGCAGGGGAGCCAAGGGCTTGGAACTGCGGCCACAGAACATTTGAGTCAGTATCATGCAGCATTACCTGCAATTTGCTCCATGCTCATCCCGAGTCCCACCCACCGTGGAAGCCACAATTGTGACTGTGTGGCAGGGGTACCAAAATCAAAGCCATGGAGACTTACATTCCCCTCCTTGTCGAAGTCCGGTGGAAGTAGCTTTACAAAGTTATCTGGGAACACTCCTCTTCTGCCGTTGAGCTCTCCTTCCCACCAGCCTACATCGATGCAGTCCTAGGAACCAGAAGAGCAAGTCAGAAATGGGGGCAACCTCCAGTGAGGGCTGTCACCCCTTCCCCGGAGCATGGCGGCCACTCCCCCAAGCTGGTGTTGACTTAATAGCGGTTACTGAACAAGCACAAAGTCAGAAAGGACACGGAGAGCTGCAGCAGGTCAGAGCTGCCGACAGGAACGCGAAGCCATGCCCACCACACACTCAACACTCAGGCACACCAGTGGGAGCTACAGTCTAGTCAGAGCGACCCCCAATAACCCCCATGAGGCTTGCCCTAAGCCCTGGTTCCTGTGCTTGCCAGTATGTGCAGCAGACTGGGCCAGTCTAGGCCACATCCCATTCAGCTCTCTTATATATCAATGGGCGTTGGAACTTAGTTCAACCCAACCAACCCCACTATCCAGCCCACACTCATGCCAGCAGGTGCCACTGCCTGTCTAGCCAGGCCCACCCCAGTCCTGGTTCTCATGCTCACCAGTGGGAGTTGAAACCCATCAGAGAGGTGCCCACAGCCGCCCTACTAGGCCCACTTCAGTCCTGGATCTTGCATTCTCCAGGTGGCTCTACAGCCTAGCTTCACAGAATTTGCCCCCGTACCAGCATCCGCCAGCTGGTGCTGCAGCCCAACCAGCCTGCTCTTCCTCTGGTCTACGCACACAGTGGCTACAGTTGATTGCCCAGTCTGGCTCTCTCCTAACCCAGCTCACATGCAGGCCAACAGGCATTGTAGCTCTGCCTGGCCTGCTCTGCTCTCCATCCCAGCTCTCATGCTCACCAGTGGGAACAGTGACCCAGCAGGGGAGTCCCTGCTAGCCTCACACATCTTGCACCCCGCCCCTCATGTCTCATGTGTGCTGGTGGGTGTTGTGGCAGAGTCTGGCATGGCACACCTCTCTTTGGCAGGTGCAGTTGCCTGGCCTGGTGTGCGCCAGTTCCAGTTTGTGCTGGTGGTGCTACTGCCTAACCCAGCCCAGCCTGGACTGCCCCCAGTCCTGGCCCTAATGTGAACTGGCTGATGTTGTGGCCCAACCCAGCCTGTTCTGCACCCCGTCCTGGTTCTCACACCTGCCAGTGGGTGTTATGAACTGGCCCAGCCTGGCCCACCCACAGACCTGACCCACACATATGCCAGTGGACACTGTAACCTGGCCAGGTCTGGGCTGCTCCCAGTCTTGGTTCCTACACTCACTTGCAGGGACTGTGTCTGACAGAGTTCTCCAAGCTCCTCTGTCAGCTCTCCTCCCAGTGGCAGTTCTCGCACACACTGGAGGGTCCTTGGCCCAGACTGGCTTAGTCTCCCTCCTGTCTGGGCAGGAATAGCCTGAACCACCCCACACCCATTCTGGTTCTTACTGTTGGGTACTACAGATCAGCCATACCTGGTCCATATCCAGATGGAGCTCTCACAAGGTTCAGCAGTACCAAGACCTAGTCCAGCCCATTCTTTACCCTCCCTGGCTCTCACAAGCATCAGTGGGTGCTGGAGTCTAGCCCAGCCTGGCACACTCCAGTCCAGTCCACACCCATGCTGAAGGACACTGCAGTCATGTCCAGCCCAGATCGCCGCCCTCATCCCAGATCTAGCACTCCCACAACCCAGCCGGGATGTCCTCTAAGCTCCCAACCAGATCCATTTCCAGTCACAGATCTGGCACATGCCAGTGGTTGCTCTGACCCAGCTCGACATAGTCCATCTTCCGTCCTGGCCTCTGCCATCAGATGCTGCAGCCTGACCTATCCCTGCCCACCCCTAGTCCCACTGGTGGGTGCTGCAGCCCAGCCAGGCTCAGTTTGCTCCCATCCCTGGCTCATGCAAACTGGGAAGGGTTAAATAGCCTAGCCTGGTATGACCCACACTCCAGCCTGACTCCTGCACACACCAGTGAGCTAAGGTTGGCCTGACCCTGCCTGGTTAGCCTCCCTGAAGAATCAACCCACACATTTGCTGATGGGTGGGACTACCTTGCCGGCCTGACCAACTCCCAGGCCTGAACTACATGCTCACCAGCAGGAGCTGTGGCCCACCAGGGGAGTTAGCCAATTTCCCTCACCAGGACACACCCAGACCCAGATCTGACCTTTGCTGGCAGGTGCCAGCCCTTAGACGGCACTGTATGTCCCCTCCATCCAGACTCTTGTATGAGCTGGTGGATGCTGTGGCCTGGCCTGCCCCACATTCTATTCTTGGGTATGCCTATGGGTGCTGCAGTCTGGACCAGCCTGGCCTACTCCCAACCCCAGTACCCATGAGTGTTGGAGGGTTCCATGGTCATGCCTAGCTCAGCCTGTCACCACTCCCAGCTCTTAAGCAAACCAACAGAAATTGCAGTTCCACAGGGGTGGACCCACATATCCCCCACAGAATCTGCCCCCAGACCTGGTTCTCTTGTGTGCTGGTTAGTGTCATGGCCTAGCCTAATGTGACTCATCCCCTGTTTCAACACTCACTGGTGGGTACTGTGATCTAGCCCTGTCAGATGAGCTCCCCAGTCTCAGCTTCTGTGTGCACTGGTGGGTGGTGGTGGGCGATGTTCAATGCTAACCAGCCCAACTCAGGCACGTACATCACTTTGACGCAAAAAGATCCTCCAGCTTCTGCTCCTCCAAACCGCTCAGTCATAGCCCCTTGCTCACCTGCAAGTACAGTGGCCTTGTTGGTGGAAATCCCCCCAAAATCATCCTTCACCTGTAACAAATGTATTCCCTCCACAATCCTCTCTCTCTCTCACATCCCCATTCCCCCTTCCCTGAGCAGGCCACAGACCCCGTGCCTGGGAGCACGTGGGTTCCCCAGCCTGGTCTTCCCAAGCCCAGTCTTCTGGTGGGGTGGCATGCTGGCCTGGAGCTCTGCCTGCCCACCCTCGGAGACCAAGGTTCCCAGACCCTGTCCTCTGCACACGTGCAGGTCTGGGACCTTCCTCTCTACTTGCCTGGGACACAAGTGCGTGTCCGAGACCCTAGGTACGGCCCACGGGCACCATGCTAGCTGGGGCCTTTCTCTCTCCTCTCCCATCCTGTCCTTGGGAATGAAGCCCGTGCACAGTCTCAGGCCCACTCATCCCGTTCTTTCCCTCGATGCAGCGTCCTCATCTTCCGAGCCTAACTTCAAATGCACCTTTAGATAAAGGCGAGTCTTGTGAATGCTTTATCTTTCTCTAACACTCAATATCATGTTGGCACTTCATGATATTCCATTCCACAAAAATCTACCCGAAGCCAAATGCAAGCTCAGTTCTGTAAGCACCAGACCAACAGAACACATGGTCCCTGACTCCAGCGAGCTGAGAGAGGCACAGGAAAGCAGAGACAATATTCTACTAAGTCCTTCCGGATAACAGCACTCTGCCACAAGAGGAACGATCCATTAACAGCTTTTGAAATAATGTTGAATCTGTTCAAGTATGCAGGATTTGCATACAGAGACTGGGCTTTCCTCCACATTCACTCAGATCATGGGAGACATAACTACATCTGCAAAAGACATACAAATGTGTTTAGTGCTGTGTTTCAAACTTTCCAAATGGTGCAAATCCAAGTTTTTCCTTAACCTTAAACACACACACATACATGAGAGAAAGTTAGTTCAAGAATCTTTTTGCTGGGCCCGGTATGGTAGCCTAGCAGCTACAGTCTTTGCCTTGAATGCACCGGGATCCCATATGGGGGCCAGTTCTAATCCCAGAGGCTCTGCTTCCCACCCAGCTCCCTGCCTGTGGCCTGGGGAAGCAGCTGAGAACAGCCCAAAGCCTTGGGACCCTGTACCCGCATGGGAGACCCAGAAGAGGCTCCTGGCTCCTGGGTTTGGACTGGCGCAGCACCACATTGTGGCTACTTGGGGAGTGAACCAATGGACAGAAGATCTTCCTCTCTGTCTCTCCTCCTCTCTGTATATCTGACTTTGCAATAAAAATAAATAATTCTTTAAAAAAGAATATTTTTGCTTTATTTGTGAGAAAACAAAATTAGAAAAATTCTAATAAGCAAAAGCCTATCCAGAATAATGCGAGAACTTAAGCACGTGTGCAGGGGAAAAGAGCGTACAATGCTCCCCGACCCCTCCCACCTGCCCACGGGGAGAGCTGCGGGCTCCTGCGGCCCCTGCAGGAAAGCACCAGCGGGGCTAATCACCGTGTAAGTGGAAGCAGGAAGGGAAAGCACGCAGAGAACACGCCTAACTGTTCCGATCAGCATAACAACACAGACAGTGCGGGCCCTGGACCCGATCCACGCTGCCAACGCTGAGAACTGCCAGTGCGGCTGAGCCTAATGAGAGAGTGGGAGCGCCTGCTGCAGGCCAAAAAGCGGGCACAGGGTCAGGGGGCCTGCAGTGGCATGGGGCTTGCTCAGAACCAAGGCTCCCCCCCCCCCCCCCCCCCCCCCGCAAGCAACATTAGATAACTGAAGGGAAACAGGACTAATTCTGACAGTAAAATGCAAAGTGAAAATAAGTCTTTTCAGCAAAGCAGACAAAAGAGCCAGGCTTCTGACGGCAGTGATGGGAGGAATTATTTGTATAAGGGCTGTGCTTGCAGAAGTGTAAAATAACAGCAAATTCAATTCATTCACTGAGGATCTAAAATGCACACGCTAGGAGAGCAATCCAGGGGAAGAAGCAAAACACCATGTTATCATGGGAGCCGTAGGCTTGGGCCCAGGGGGAGAAGCAGAGGCAGTAACTCCACCTGGTAAAGGAACCCAGCAGGAGGGCCAGGTTCGGCTGAAAGCAACTGGAACCAAGCAAAGCTGGACAGCCTGGAAGGAACAATCGAGAAAGGTGGAAGAGCTGGATGAGCAAGTGTGAATGGAGAGAAGACAGGTGTGCAAAGGTATAGAAAAAGAACACTCAAACATTGAGGCCTAGGGGTAGGCCTCTGGCCTAGCAGCTATGATGATGCCCAGGACCCCAGCATCTCACATCAGCATGTCAGCATTTCAGTCCTGCTTGTACTTGCACTTTCAGCTCTCTGCTAATGAATGGCCTGGGAAGAAGCAGGTGATG